AATAATCTTTAAGGTGAAAAAAAAAAAAAAAAAAAAAAAAAAAAAAACGAAAATTTTCAGAATCCGTATGATTTGTGCGATATGGCCAATATACGTAAGATTCACCACAAAATCCGTATGAACTATGGCTAAACCGTATGAGTTGACAGGTATGTACACACCACCCAAATGTTTTCACACACTACAGAATATTTTGGGGTTACACGCACAATCAAAATGTGTATTTCACGAAATGAGCACATTTCAACATATATGAGTGTATTTCAATATGATGTGTGAAATGCTTCGGTGCACACACACACACACACACACACGCACACACACACACACACACACACACACACACACACACACACACACGTCATCCAAATTTGAAATCTGAAATACACTCGATAATAGTTTTTGTTTTCAGAAATGAAAAAAAATCAAAAGAGAGTTACTCTTCAGTGTGTCTTGTTATACATCAAATTGTGAAATTAGGAATAGGATGACACAACACAGTACTACAAAATTATTTAACAGTAACCGTTTGCATAACCATTGTGTAAGACAAACTTGTGCTTTTTCCAGATCTTTGATCTCGTTAACATTCTTGCTACGCTGTTAAAGGCCATCAGAGTTATCACATGTTGCTCCCATCCATCCCGAGAATCCGTCTGAGTCAACAAGTTAAAACATTTTCACTCTCAGTTTTGAAGCAGACAGTTTACCAAGCAACCCGTCATCAGATTATAGATTTAACTTCCCGCTAGTGGGCCACGTGTACAAAGCTCCACCTTTGCTTCGCTGGAAAATTCAATTGATGCTTACACAGTCATGGGTCTGCAAAAGTAACTCAATAATATAGCCATAAATGTCGCACAGAGTAGCTTGCATCTTGCTGTAAAATCGAATCTTTTTTTTTTCCGCCAATGGCACTTATGTTACAAGACAATGTGAAGTAATTGTTCAAAGACTACAGAAATTGGACTTGGCATGCAAAAGAAAGTGGATGGACCCGAACAAAAATGTGTCCATACTTTATGGCCAGTATTTACAGCCGAGTTCCCCAATCGGCGACAATCACAGACGAATGTCTTCAGGTCGCCGGTGCCCCATTCACCCCACCCTCTGCGCGCCCCTGATAAGGAGAAATGTGTCTGTGTGAGTACCGCTGCGACACTAGCTCACCCGCTTTAATGCTCTGTACTAGGGCTGGACACATTATGAATATATGTACGGTAAAAGGCAGAGATGGGCATTCTGTCCTTGAGACGGATGCCCATTTTGGGGATGGACGACGGAGAATGATACATTTTTTATTTTTATTTTTTTTTTAAAAGGGCAGACTAAGCATGGACGGAACAGGGTTTTCATCCATCCCTTGAATCATCCCTAACCATCTTAAGTACCTACAGACACCCATTTTACTAATGACTGACAGAAACCTGAAAAAGTTGTGAACAATTCAATCCAATTGGTGAAGAAAGCTGGCTGTGTTGTATGTTTCTCGGTGCCCGCCCACCAAGATGCTTATGCCCTCCCCCAACAGTCCCCACAGAGGCTTCGAATTTTTAAAAGTTTTTATTTGATCTAATCATATTAGCTATTTTTGTGTTGTGAAATACTAAAGTTGCTTATCACCAAGTCATTAAAAATATGAAGAAAAAGTGATGTCATTTTTGTTTGATTGATGAGCAATCTAATCTGCAACAGCCAATTACGGTGTTACTGAAAATAAGGTTCGGTACGCAGGTGTATACGCTATGAATACATCAAGGTTTGCATGCGAGAGACCTGCACATATAGCAAAGTGTGGCATTGTGTAATGTAGCAAACACGTCATGCGTTTTGTATTTTATGGATGACGCATTTCTCTCGTGAAGTGACATAAGCTTTGCAGTGAGCGCCTCTGTGAAAAAGAAAACACCCTAAAATGCCGAATACTAACATCATTCATGCTAATATTCTCAGAGGTTCATGTGGGCATAAGTAAAAATGCCAACATACATTTTGGTTACCATTGATCGGGGTTTTGGTCCATGAGGCGACCTTTTAGATTCCTACATTACAGGTATAGACTGTCACGGTGCGTCGCTGTACGGCAAGGGAGGAGGGATATACAGAAGAAGTGAGAAGTCCTAACCTTTGAAGCAATGGATTTTTGAACACATACGGGTCAGCAACACATGTAGACAGACATTTTAGACAATACTCACAGGCTTACATTCTTTGTCATCTGTGAAAAGCAAATATTACTTAGCAATGAAACACTTCTCCCTGTATTACGTACGACTACTTTGTACTGCCCCCTGGTGGCCAAGACACTCATGAAATCATGATGCACAAACTGTTTAAGTCTTCAAATTCTATTTTTGTGACAGTTATATATTTTTATTGTTTACGTCAATATAGGGTGCTATTTTAGTGACGCATTGCAAACAATGTTGCTGTTGGTTTTTTTTTTTTTTTTGTGGGGATGGAAAGGACGAATGAAATCTGTCCGTCAAGGCACTACTGTATTGTGCCTATTATACTCAACGGAAAAAAAAAAATGTAAAACTGAATAAAAGACTGTTCATTTCTTTGCGAACAAATTTATCAATCCAGCTGGGGATCGAATGATTATTATGTCCTCAAAAATATATACATCCCCCACAGTAGGCTTGATCATATGTGTGTCTGACTTTTTCTTGGAAAAGTTTTTTTCTTTTCCTTGAAGACAAACTGCACTTAATGGATTTAAGTCTCTCTCCCTCCCTCTTCCAACTTCCTCTTTCGTAATAAGTGTATGCGAAATCATCAGGAGGAAATTCACCTAATTGGATTTTCTGGCCAATTCCCTGTGCGGTAATTTTGCAAACAGAGGTTGCCATAGTCATGTCAACTGAGCACTCTGCAGTGAGACGCCACTATCAAATGGCAAGGAGAACAATGTCACACATTCTATTTGCTGTTCCTCTCGAGCGTTTTTGTTTTTAGGAGTACACAGATTGAGACAAAACAAGTTATTCGTATTATTCGGCATGTAAGCGGTAACGGCGGAGAACCTACCGTGTTACTCGTTTCCTTGTATCAAAGTCGAGGGTTCTCATGGATTGGGTCACCTCCACACTACCCATATACTGAAAAGCACAACCGCGTTCCGGATTAAAGTGAGAAATACAATTTTAAACAAATGTACTGGACAGGATTAAAAAGAAAAACAGTGGATGTAAATAAATATACAGTAGGAAAATAAAAAACGTACCTAAATCATGATTACATTAAAACGTATAGTACATGTTAAGAAAAATATACGATTTAATTAAATTAATTTTGGAAAAAAAAACACTCCTCAAACATTACATGCAAATGGTTAAAAGGTTAAAGCAATGCAACAGATATAATTTAGCATTTGCATTAAGCTAGATGACTGAAAGGCTAAGCTGTGTGGCTGTTTTAAATACACAGTGTAATTCCCTGTTTTACTAGGTTTAAGATAAGATAAGAAACCCTTTGTTTTTTCTCACAATGGAGAAATTCCCAATTTACAACAGCAAAATTATGAAAGGGAGAAAGTAGAAGACAAAAAGTCAAGTTACCACTGAATTACCTTCCACTACCGTATGACCTTTTCTGACATTTTCCAAACACGGACATTGAATAAATGTTCAAATGGCTTCCCATACATGTGCATTTCTATTGGCTCAATGTATGTAGTAAAACCCCGCTTCACATATACACCAGAATCCAAAATTAACATGTGCAAATGTGGGCGGTATGAGTTGGTGGGAATGTAAAGGACATACTGTACGTGTGCTTGCTGACAGTTGTGAAGAGCTACACTTAATTGTTTGATTCTGAATTACCAGTTTCACACACACACACACACACACACACACACACGCACACGCACGCGCACACCACACAGTAGCAGCTGAGATGTAGCAGCAAGCGCAAAGCCAGGATGAGTCACAACTGCATACACAGGAAGCTGTCTGAAAGGAGGGCGTGAAGTGTGTGTGATGGTGGATAGAGTATGGTGTAGTGTTAACCCCAATTGACATCAAACAAAACAGTCGTACATGCACCTTGATGTGATGGTGGACCACTCTATGGACCACTGAAGAGCACTGCTTGCACTTGTGTTGAGGGCAACAAAGACAGTTGGACATCTTGGGAAAGCTACACATGCAATGGAAAGTGATCGGTCGTTTTGGGGAATTGGGCACACTCCACTCAGGGTGCCTATCAATGCTTCCAGCCACTCGGGGCCCACTTAGCCCGTGCGGGGGAATTTGCGATGGGACATCGTGTACGAAATCCCTCGGTGGATCATGGGAAAAGTCAGAGTCCAAGCAAAGAGACCAATTGTCCAGAGAGGTCCTTGAATCGTTGTGCAGACGGCTGTATTTGGTGCGCTTCAGCATGCTGGGACTACTGGAGATAGAGAGAGGTGCGTTGAAACACACATGCGGCAAGAATAGAACGTTTGATTGTATGAGCTATACCTGGTTAGCGTTCGGTTGTACGATGTCCTGATGAAATCGGTTGATGGGACCCAAGACGGAGACTACAATTAGAAAGCAGATGGGTTGCTGATCCGTTCATTGAATTAGCCTGCAATATAAATGGTACTCACCAGCATGCAACATGGGACATCCCAAATAGTTTAAGTCCTGTTGTTTTCACTCCAAGTCAAACATCTGAAGCCAACTGTCCTTCCCTTGACAACTTTCCTCCTTTGCTGTTCTCCGCGCAGCTCTTATGAATGAACTGGAAGCTCTCGTTTGTCAATGAGTAGCTGCGTGCAGATGAGCGTGTGAATGGAGCAGAGAGATTGACATGAGCCCCCCCCCCCTTCACCCCTCCCGTCCCTAAAACTACCGTCCAATCACAGCAGGGCTGAGTGACTCATGCTGCACACTCACACACAGGACACACGCGCTGCAGGACATTAAAAAAAATGAACCTAAACGAAACAAAAAAGAAAAAAAAAACGCTGCAGGACGTAATGCCTAATTATTATTTTAATAACGGTACATCCAATATGTTTATGTAGCCGTTTGAGTCACACACGCACACAAAAAAATATAATGAAACTTCTAATGTAAACAGAATCCTGTACCTCTGTGAGGATGCAAGCGCACAAAATACGAAGAAATACTGTATGGCGCAGAGTGAAAAGTAAATAAGTGTACAGCCCCGCGCGTAGGTCTAATTCCTGACGCATTTGTGGCAAATGCAAGGATTTTATGATTCACCTTATCCTGACCATTGACTTACTCTGCTTTTTATTTTAATTTCACGTCTACTTTGTCAATTACAGTATTGTGACTTTTGTCGCTTTTTGATGATGCAGAGAAGACCCAAAAATACAGAAACATTGAACAGTTGGACATGTTCGTTATGAAGTTCACCTTTAAAGCTTAAAGTACTTTTAAGATTCGCCCTGTCACCGTAGTAGTGCAACCAGTGGCAGACCCTGAGGGCCAGCAAGGCCTTCTCTGCTGGCCTAAACATTCTCAGAAAAGTAAATTTACTTTTAAATTTACTTTTCTGAGAATAACATAAATTTGTTATTTTATTTTCATAAATATGTTAACAAAATTATTCTCTGTATTCTTTACGTCATATTATTTCCACTTAGTTGAGTGGCTTTCAATGTTATTTTAAATAACATTGAAAGCCACTCGAAAAATAACTTATTTATTATGGTAGAGTTTTTAACCAATCATATTTCATCTAGCTTGTGTTGCCGGGTAAATTAAACTTGCTCGGGGCCTTCAGATTGAACAGAGCAGGCCCCTGTGCGCTGTAAAATGAACGGGCACCGTCAGGTTTCAATAGCCAAATCAGATCACGAGTCTGAGACTCGTGATCTGAATCCTGTATCCTGACTTGTTCTCGTCTCCTACTAGAGCTAGCTAGGAGGTCTTACGTCGAGACTGGCCGTGCGCCTTCGGTGATTGGATTAGCGCCTTTTATGTTTCCTGAGAATTGTATCCTGACTTGTTCAATAAAGATTTAAAAA